ATATAAATACATTAAAAACTTTTTTCAAAAAATATGGAGGTAGAAGACAGAAGAGGTGCTAGGTACACTAAATAGGAAAGAACGGTATCTTAGTGAATTTCTGGAATCCATTTGGCTCCAAGGAAACTGACTCTACCATCAGCAGTGGCCCATAAGTCAAATGTCATCATATGAATCCAGGAATGGAGGCCAGTTTCAGTTATTTCCAAATAAATGTTTTCTTAATTGCCAGATACTGAGAGAGAATTTCCCAGTGGAATCAAAATCAGAACGCATTAAACTCTGTTAAAGTTAAAAATTTCTACAGAATACAAAAATTTACACAACTTTTATTTTGGATGTTTGTCCCCAACCACTCCCCAGAAAGAACAGATCATTTTGAGCAATATTTAGCAGAATAATTTGTCAAATATTATTTGTCTGGGGTGCCAAGAAACTAGAAAACAGTTTCTAATATAGCACATATATTCCATGACAAATATAGTTTTCATTTCAACACACTATAAAGACCATATATAGGCCCAGATACAAATAATAGTGATTAAGTTATCTGATAACCAGTCCTTCTGTCGTACACAGTATAGCTGCTTCTTGAAATATGGACTATTTCAGAGCACAAGATTAATACCAAGACTACTGAGAGGAGTCCTAAAACTTGAAAGCAATATATAAAATTCAAATGTATTAAAAAAATAAGTTCTCGTCAAGAAACACTGTAATCAGAATATAATATTCTTTTTGTTTGTATCCTCCCTCTAAAAATGCAATTTTGATACTTTAACTCTTTGGAAAACTTTAAAAAATACTTACATTAAGGAAGTAAAGAATTATGCCTAAACCTAAAAACCCCAAAATGCACACAGAAAGCTTTTCAGTGAACAAAAGCAGTCTTCAGAATGTCCTTGCTATCAATTTTGCATTCCAGGTTCTCTTAAGGATAACAAAGTAGCCCAACACCAACATGCCCTTTTAATAAGGTAATTTTCAGAACTTCTGTGAAACAGCTTTAAGATTCTATGGACCACACACTTATATGCTCTTTAAGCACTATATGAGATATGGTATTGAGGAAAATACAATTACCTGTCACAGAAAAGATCTGAAAATAACTAATGGTTACCCTGGGGTGGTGATATTATGGGTAATTTTTTTCATTTATCTATACTTTAAAATTTTTCAATATAAACATGATCAATTTGATAATATATATTACTCCTTAATGTGACAATAGTATCTTCTCACTTGATAATTTCCTTTCTAGGAATTTACCTCCAAATCCCACTCCCTCTTCCTGCCCCTCCCCTGGAAAAAAACGCAAAGAGTTACATACACAAATATTATTCACTGCAAATTATTTACTGTAAGTGAAAACTGGAAATGTTCAATAATAAGAAAATTATTCAATAGGATAGAATTCATCTACAAGGTAGAACACTATGCAGCTATTAAAAACGTTTTATAAAGTTATATATAATAAGCAAAATATGCTATACAATAAGTGGAAAAGAGGATGTAATTTATGTAAGTGTATACAGCATATGATCTCATTTATGGAAAATAAATAATAATAATAAAAAGACTAGAGGGAAATATGCCATGAGAATGATTTACTCCCATTGGTGGGGGAATTGCACATGTACTTTTTGTGCACTATATTCTTCTTTATATTTTCTATAGTAAGACTCTTTAATAGAAAACAAAAACAACTTAAGGGTACAAATGACTTCTTTGGAATTTTATTTAACAGACAAAAACCAACAAAAAAATTAGCCACACAATTGGAAAGAAAAATTCTTTGCTAGCACAGATTTGATAAAATAAAACACTACTCAAGGACATTCACAGCATAGCAAACGAGCAACCACTATTGCCTAAAATAGTTTAACAGTCTAAATGCTATTATTCTTTTCCCATTATGCTAATTTTATAAAATTAGCTGCTCTAATTCATAAACCACAAACCAACACTACAAAGCTTTTCTGAAGTATTATATTAGGAAGCTGGATTCTATCACCACCTGCCTTCCCTTTTGTGTGCAAAATTTACATAGAGATCTAACATGAGAATACGGCTTCAGATGATGATGTAATTATACTTCTTAAACAATGTTAAGCTATTTGATAGATTAAACCAAAATGAAGATCTCTTTGTGTGTACTGATTTTTCTTTTCCTAAAAGGCAAACAGTCTTGGATCTCCCATCTCTGTAGAAAATACATCATTCTTCAGTGATTCAGAACAAGGGACAGAGAAGAGCCAAGTAAAAATAACAGGGTCCAATTGTTTACCACAGAGACGTTTCAACTAAGCCCTAAAATTTACCTTGGGTTCAGACTTGGGAAGAAAGACCTCTAAGTTTTAACACACAAACTTACATTGACGTTAAACCATACCATACTGAAGAAATTTCTCTAAGAAGTATAATCATGATATTTAGCTGATATTGCTCTTTATACCACTTTAATTGTTCTCACTGTAATACTGTAGTACGTTCAGCAGTGAGAACCTAAAATAATGTTAAATAAAACTTTAAGGTTTCCACCAGCCATCTTATTTACAGTATTTGAGATAGTTGTATTTATTGAAGACAGAAATATTTATCCAATGAATGAAGATAATAAACACTGCTTTAAAAATCCTTATTAATAGTATACTTCAAGAAACAATTTTATAGGTGCTGTTGCTAAACAATTCTTAATGCAAATTACCACAAAAATTCACAAAGCAACTTTGCAAAACTTCAGATCTACAAGAACCTTTCTCTTCATTAATTACCCTATTTCCCTCATTCCTCTCAACTTTAAAAAATTTCCACTCACACCAAATTACCAGGGATACTCACCCATCTTAAATTCACATTATTTCTTTTTATATGTTAAAGACACCTTCTTTTGAAAAGCAAAAGGAGATGGGTTCTATGGACTAGAAATTTAGCTTTTCAAGTAAATCATTTTACACATGTATACTAGGATCTGAGTGATCTTTCAGGATCCGACCTGTGCCTTCGATTACAAATGCATTGATGTCAGTATCTGATGGCTAAACCACGGTACTACTCCACAGTGCCCCCTAGCTCCACCAGATATATCAGTTTAAAAGGGACACGGTTTGAACTGTCAACTTCAAGAGAAAGTGTCACTCATTACCAGCTCACCTAAACAGTTCTTAAAGAGATACCCTAGTATCTAAATTTGGCCTAATAAGTAACAGCTGAATTAATTAAATCTTGTGACCAATACTGATAAAAGCTGATGAGAAAAAGAATTATGAACTAATGGGTTTGGAATTCAACCACATAAAAACGTTCAGAAGTTCTGTAAGAAGCTTTCTTTAATGCACAATTTGTTTGATTTTTGGAGTCATCAAGCAAGGACTCACATAAAAATACACATTAAAAATGCCTTCTTTTATGCAGTTTATGGGGAAATAGCATGGCATTAGGCCATGGTTCTTTAGAGGAATGGAGTCAATTTCTTCATTTTCAGAAATGCTGGGATCAAGATTAAGTAATCTCACTACAGTCACATTATTTATCGTTACAAACTTAGTATAATTGCTAACAATGGTAAATTTATGAGAGAAAATTTGTGACCTTGGTCCTGATGCTATAAAATAGTCAGATTTGGAACGCCTCACCTTTAGCAGGGGAGGACAAAAAGTAAAGATGACACGATGAACATATGCCCCTACTTTTTGGAAATGGATTCCTTCACATCAAGCAAAACTTCCAAGAACAGCAGCAACAAAAATCACTCAAGTTTTCAAATGTCCTTCACGTCACATAACCATTCCGGAAACCCAGTCCTACGTTCCTGCATGTTCAACCTCTGGCACATTCGCACTAATTAAGGGGGAAATCAACGGAGTAGGATGAAAACTGAGGGAAAGAAGAACCAGAAAAAGGACGAAACTCCAGAACAACGACAATAAGGCAGGGTAGAGTACGTCAAAAACACAACGGTTTATTCTAAAGAATGGTTTTGTTTCCACTGTCTTTCTGAAGTATTTAATTTGCACGTCCTAAAATAGAGACCCTGAGGAGAGCAGCTTGAGGCAGGGAAAGGAAGGGGGGCGGGTTAGGTAAGAAGAGAGACTTGGGAGAAAATATGTACGGTGCATCAGAATGTGCGGCGGAGTGGGGGATGCTGGCTGGGTTCACCGCCAGGCAGCACTTGAGGGCTTTAGGAGTAGAGAGGCAGAACCAGATGTGGCTTAAGGCACGCGCCCTCGCCACCAGCACGCACACCTGGCCAAGGGACAGCCTGGGCGAAGCGAGACCGAGCCCCCAGCTGTGCAAGCGCAGAGATGACCATTTTAACCAGTTCTATTGTCTGGAGTATTAGATGGAAATGCCTCAGGCACGAGATCAAGCTAGCCTGACACCAAATCAGAGACGCTGTCGGGCAAAAGGAGGGAGAGAAGATGGACAATGGCCGTCCGGGCATTCCCAGCCACCGGGGGGCCCCTTCCCCGCGGAGCCGGGGAGGGGCGCCGCGGTCACCGGGGCCGCGCGATGCCCTGTCCCGGGAGTCCGAGCGCAGGCGGCCCCTTCCCCGGGGCTGGCGACGTCCCTCATCGCGCAGCCCGCGAGCACCCAGACTTCCCCTCCCACCCCACCCCCAGCTCAGAGCAGGGAAGACGCGGAACTTGGGCTCCGGAGCGGAGGCCACAGATCAGGTCACGGCCCGGGTGGGAGGTTCTGGGAGAAATTCCGTGCGGCCACCGGGGGTGGCGTAGAGAAGGCAAGGCTCGGGCCGGTCGGGTTTCCAACTGGACGACACCTCGGGTCGAGGTGACCGGGCCCCGAGCCCTTCGGCGCTCACCGACCCCCCTGCACCTCCCGGGTCCTCACAGTCCCAGGCCCTTCGCCTCAGCTAGAGACCCGGCCTCTCTGCTAGACTCAGCAACCCCCCCAACCCCGTCGCAGCCGCCCCTCCCGGCCAACAGCTCCTCTCTCCCGGACCCTCGCCTCGGACGCTCCCGCCGAGCCCCGGGCCGCACCTCGGTCTTGGTGATCCGGTGCCGCCCCAGCTTCACCACAGCGAAGTTACCCTTGCCCAGCGTGCCCTCGATGTCGTAGAACCCCACCCGGACCGGCCCGCGCTGCAAGTGCTTCGGGCCATCCGCCATGACCATGCTGGGCCCCGCTGCTAGACACGGCGGACTGGAGCGCGGGCTGGCGGGCCGGCGGCGCGGCTTGGCTCCGGCGACGCCGCTCCCCTCGCTCCCTCGCTCGGTCCCTCCCGCTCGGCTGGGCCCAGCCAGGCGCGCGCCGCCGCTGACGTGCGCCGACGTCAGGGGGCCGGGGCAGGGGGGCGGGGGCGGGACCGGGCCTCGATTGGTCACCATGGCGACCGGAGCACCGCCGACGTCGGCTGGAGGGAGGGAGGGAGGGAGGGAGGGAGGGAGGGAGCGAGGGAAGACGGGCGGGGCCTGGACGGCGCGTTCTTTTCGGACTCAGGCGCCCCTGGTTCTCCGCAGCCTTGCAGCTGATAGGGGCGGGGTCACCTCCGGGCCCGCCCAGTGCCTCGGCCACCCAGCCGAAGGGCAAGAGCGAGCCCTGGTGGGCGGAACGGAGGGCTGCAGCGACCTGGACTGGCTCTGCAGTCTCCTTGCCCCGCAACAGCGTTCTCCGCCTACCTGGGGGCCTTCCCGCCAAAACCTCTCACCTGAGACTGCAGTGCGCCGGCAAATTTGGCACCTGCAAAGAGCTGTGGTTGAGCAACCCATTGCTCACAGGCTCCTTTCTTCGCATCCCTTTCTCATCTGTTTCTATATAAATCGCTCCACATTTTGATGTCTCTGAGGAATCATTCTGACAGTAGCACGGTCGCTTACAGACGCAGAATGTCAGCGCTTGAAGAGACACTAGAGATCACTTAACCCAGGGATTTGGAGCCTCACATGTGCTTCAAAGCCTCAACGTCCCTAAAATGTATGCGAATTTTTCCTTCTTTGAGATTGTCTCTGGAGAGATGGGACTGTAGCTTTTAGCAGATTCGCAAACGTGTTGGTGACCCTGAAAAAGGTTAAGAAATACTTTACCTTATCCAATTTCTTTTCAGATGATGAATCAAACCCCAAGGAATGAAGGCAATTGCCAGGGTCATGCAGGTGAGGGTAGAGTTAGGACTGCAAATCACCACACGCCAGTCTTCTATGTGGTGGCCCAAGGAAACAGGAACAGCGTCATTTTCATATTTTGAAATACATTACATGCCTCCACGTCTTGCTTTCTAAATGCCAATCTCTACTGAAAGGAACCAGACTCTGGAGAAATGGATGATTCAAAGGCAAAAAGAGGGAAAGTATAAAATGCCCATGAAGATCTCGTGCCAGAAAGCAAGATTTTCAGAGTGATGGAGAACAAGTCAACAGGAAGCAGGAACCAGCTTGAAGCTACCTCTGCTTACCCAAACTGGGACACTTTGAGCATCACCAGTGAATAATGACTAAAATGGATTATAACACAATGAATTTCAGAAAAGAATACAAAAGTGCATATTTATTCTTAAAATATTAAATAAATAAATACAAAGGCCGGAGAGGAGAAATAACTCTTCTTGACAACTAAGACACTGGAGGAAATGGCAAAATTAAGAAATCACCATTTTGCAACCCTTATGGTAATAATTGATTTAGATAGGGAATTATCTATCAATAGATCTTAAAATCATAAAATAGTTGTTAAAATCACTGAGACAGGATGTTTACATACTCTCACAGTATCCTTAGATTTCTTATTCATTACAAAGTGGTAAAAATGGCCCCTTTACAGTGGAGAAATCTAACAGACACCACCCTAACCAAATGATCAAAGTTAATGTCACCAGTTATGGGATAAAATGATATGATGTGCCTTCTGACGTGAGATACTGAGAAGAATACGGTATCTCTTACATAGTATCCCAGTCAAAAAATCCATATTCTGAATCTAATCACAAAGAAACAATCAGAAAAATGCAAACTGAGAAATACCCTACTCATCCACCAGCCCATACTCTTAAAAAAAGGTCAGTGTCATGAATGATAAAGAAAAGGCTGAAAACCTGTTATGGATTTAAGGGATTAAAGAGACATGTCACTAAATGCAACATGTAATCCTGGATTGGGAGAAAAGTGCTATAAAGGAATGGTTTCAGGACAATTGTTGAAATTTGAATATGGATTGTATATTAGATGAATATTTTATTTTTATTTACATGTTAAGCCTCTTGAATTTCATAATTGTGGTTATGAAAAAGCATACCCATGTTAAGAGATACACACTGAAGTATTTAAGGATGAAAGTTTTTGATATATGTAATTTACTCTCAAATGGCTTAGAAAAGATAGATAATGTGGCAAAATGATAAAACTAGATAAAGGCTATGTGGTAGATATCGCGTTGTTCTTGCAACTTGTTTCAATTTTTTTAATGAAAATTAATATATGTGTATATGTATATATTTTATTAATTTAATACTTTTTGTGTAAGATCGGCTGGTTCTTGGGCCCTCCACCTGCTCACTGTGCTTCCGTCCTGCACTCTCCCCAAGCAATACATTATTCTGCTGTGAATTATGTTGTTTGCAAAAGTGAGGAGGGTGAGGCGAGATTTCTGGATTGATGAGGGTAGTAGGAGGGTTTGTCTAACTAGCCAGAAGCCCACATATATACCCTAACTCAAAAAGAGTTCCCATATACATTTTGCCGGTTAGGTTAATGTGTTTTAAGTGCGCTGCGGGTGGAAATTTGGGAATTTGATGAAAAGCTGCTTACTCAAGAACCAGGAAATGCAAATAGAGACCCAACTAAAGCCAACAACTCCTCTTTAGAGTATACCTTTTGAACAGAAACTAAGACTCTTTTCTATCTGATTTTTTAATCAGGTAACCAGGCCAACTACCTCCTTGCACAGTCTGGGATTAAGACTTCATTTGGGGCTGGAAAGAGGAGAAAGAGATGGCAGGGAGTACTAACAGGTTTTTGGTAAACCAGAGATCAGTGTGAGGATGCTGAGTGTCTGGAGGTCAGAGAAAGAGAAGCCGAGATACGGGAGAAGTAGGAGGAGTTGTACCCAAAACAAACCTTGCTCCCTTGGAAATGCAGCAGGTGCACCACTGAAAATTACCAGGAGCTGTAAACAGAACCTGGAGAAATGTATGCGGACTAAATATTGCAAGCTTGGACGCTCTGATGCGGCTCGGTTCTCTCAGTCCAAGAGATCAACTTTTCCCTCTGCAGTTTTAACCCTGTGTGTCTCTTATGTGCTTTTGTTTCAATTAAATGATAACCATATACATTATAGCAATTATTATTATCCAACTCTCATTTTCCTCCCCTCCTTCTCTCTCCCACTTTCCCCTCTTCTTTCCTCTTTTTTTTCCCCCTAGACACATAAACACACATACCATCACCACCACCACACATCAGGAAAAATAATATAAAAGGGAGAAAGAGAAGATCAGAGAAGCTTCATACATTCTCATCTTCTTCATCTCTAGTTTTAGTATCAATGAGGTAGAGTACTCTGGATACCAGATTTCCTATTTGCTTAACCTTTAAAATGCAATATGCCCAGCTAATGCTGTGAGTCCACTATATTTGCCATTGAGGTGATTAAAAAGTGTTAAGATAACATGTCAAAGGCCAAAAGCGTGTATGTATATAAAGAATTAAAAAAGATGGTAAGAAGCTGAGATAAGAATTAATTCTATGACATACTGAACTTAGAACAAAAATGTGGAATGAGGAGAGGAGTTAGCAAAGAGTTAATTAAAGAGTGATTTGAAATGAGAAGGGAGAAAACCTTCATGGCTCACAGTGCTATACGTATTTTGCTGAAGCTGATAGCCCATGAACCTGAAAGACAAGATATGTACCATGTTTCCTTGACCGTGAATAACATCTGCATTTTTACTGTTTTATCCTTTTAGGACTGAATAAAAGTCAACATACCAGTAGGCTCAGGACTGAACTTAGATTTAGTTCAAAACTGAAAACTGGTGGAATCTTTATTGGATGGCTTTGCTTAGAACAAAGAGGTTACAAAGCTAGAATGAATACTTTGCATTTTATATTACACAAGACAGAAAGTACATGAGAAAATCCAAATCACTGACCTATGCCAATTACAAGAGCTTCTCATGGGTATAAAATACAGGTATTCCTGAAATATGCATCAATCTGTCAGGTTAATGAACACGTGGGTACCACTATGTTTAAGAAACTACTATGGAAATAAAACTAGAGGATTGATTATTTAAGCAAAACTTTCTTTGGCTCTTTTAAAGGATGTGTAGCCAGGCCCTGGGTTTCAATTTTTCAAGTTTAGTTTTAGCTACAATGGGTCTCCTCTATGTGTAGAACATGTGATTCTCTCTAAACTTTGAAATAAATTTCAAAGATTTTTGTATCTCCTCCCAGATGACAGATTTGCTTAGGATCCTGATTTGAAAGGGATCTCAGAGAGTATCATAGGAGTCCATCTTCCCATCTGATACAGAAATCTCTAGACACTTGACAGATGGCATCAAGCCGTGGTTTCCTGCTTCATGCTTCATGCTTCATTACACGTCTCACATGTAATCTATGTGAAACAGTTCATTTCAGTAGAAAATACACCCCATATTGGCTTCAAAGCTGCTTCTTTCTGACTTCTGTCCGGTTTTAGTTCTTTTCTCTGCTGTAAGACATTACAGACACACACCTATTGTCATGTTTTTTTTTTTTCTATTGTCCAGGCAAAACATTCCCAAATTCACCATCTAGGTAATTATGTTTCTAGCTCTTTACCTTTTCTTTTTGTGCCTCTCTGGACTCTGGCTTGTCAATGTCTCTTCAAATATTTTTCCCCAAACTGAACCACAGTAGCCCAGGTGTAGTCTAAGCAGTGTGGAATACTCGCCCATCTCTCCTTTGATCCAGACACTCTACTCATAATAATTCAGCCAAAGATTGTGCTAGTTTTCTTTTTAGCAGCTACAGCCCAGAATTAAGATTAAGGCCAACTAAAACCTCTGGGTCTTTTAAAATAACAATTATTCTTACCATTTTCCTGGGCTATTGGTTTTTCTAAAAATATAAATGGAAATTCTGATAGTTGAAATGTCATCTTATTGATTTTGCCCATTGTTTCAGATAATAGAATCATTTTGATCCTTCACTCTGCCATCTATCATATTACCTAATCTTTGTTCGAGGAGCCATCGGCCAGTACCAGCATGCCTTTTATATCTTTTTAAGATTTTTTAAATTTATTTGACGGA